AATCTTCGCCTTGTTCAAATTTCTTCCGGGAAAACAATGTTTGATTGATGGTTTTCTTAAAAGCTTTCCCAATGGCCACTTGTTCTAGCGACCGCTCAATTGGTAGACAGTTTCCGTTTATTTCCGTGGACTTATAAATTAATATATAGTCTGTAGAAGAAACCAACAGCGTCTGTTCTGCGGGTTACCCCTTTTTAAACACATCCGTTCTTCCTGAAACTCGATTCACAAAATGTACCCTGTCGTTTATAGATACTCTTTTGTTCGTCAGAATTTAAGACTGCAAATTTCGAATTCATTTCCATTACATTTTAAACATGCAGACTCCAAACTTGCCCTTATACAGTGAAACATTCTATAAGAGTTATATCAAAAGAAGCATACGTAAATACAATGTTTTATTTGCAACAAAATATACCGCGTATACTTCGGAAACTCTAAACAGCAATGCTCCTGCCCTTTCCTTTAAGGTCAGTGTAAGGGCTGATGGTGATGGTAAATACCACAGTTAGGATACGGAATGAGTTACTTTCCTATAAATTCACAGTAGATCATTGGTTCAATCGACAGGCGTCCAATTACCGCTTTCTGTCTTACAATAACATCGGCTATCAAGGTGCACAATGTATAACGTGTATGTAATTATTCGTTTGCCCGGGGTTTCCGTACTGGCGGGCAGTATTTTTTGCATTAAATAACCTAAGAGGTGATGTGGCTCAAACATCTTGGAATTTTGCTGCACGGTATTCAATATTACAGCTCTAACCAAATGATAAATTGTCATGTAGGGCACCTTTCTGCATTTCCATGATTGTTTCCTGTTACCTATAATATACTAATTGTTGCCTCAATACCACAATTCCCGTGGCCGATGATATCCCGTTTTAGAATGCAACAGACCCCTTTATTCAAATGAAGTTGAGGTGCTGCCTTGTTGAGTGTATCCCTTTCCTTTGTGTCACTGTCGTCTCTTGGATGTTGATATCCAATGACCCCGAATACCAGCAGCTCCCTAGGTTGTTTCTCAGGAACTTCTTCTGTGCTGCTGATATATTCCAACTGTTCGAGTGCTTCGATGAGCCTATTGCTTATAGGCCTTACATTTGGACCAGGATCCTGTCCGTATGGCCCCTATGCCTACTTCATCTCTTCTTCCATAATACCATGAGATCTGAGGGGAGTATTACGCCTGACACAGAAAGTCTATCACCGTATGACCCGAAAAGACCACCAGCACCTGATCCGGAAAGCCAGCTGTTACTTGACCAGGAGGATCGTAAAGAGAATAACCTATCTTTGGAAGCTATGAAGGTGGACATATATGTGTGGGCAGATATTTTGTCTGGCCTGGTCCTAGACATGCAACTGCTGTATTTGCGACGCGACCTACTTTCCCAAATTGATTTGTTTGAACCCCAAATCCACTTTTTTATTATAAAGAATATGGTCTTGATGCTGGCGCAAGTCTGTCGAGCCGCGGTCATCTTGCAACGGCAAATTCGTAAGGTCTAATCTGGTCCGACAAACCTGCATGTTCATTCACGTTGACATTCTAAAAACACAGCTATCCTGTCTGCTCATCTCCACCCAACCCATATAACTGACTGACGGCATTAATTCTTTTTATGTTGTCATTTGCATGGCACCTTATTTCTGATAACGATGTCCTGGGTTTGAATACTAAAAAAAGAAAACGCCGGCTATACTTTATGTTTAATAACCTTGTTATGTTTAATAACCTTAACTTGAATCCCGGGTGTCATCTGCCGCAATGAATGTAAGCTTTTTGGTAGTTGGTTGAAATTTTTATGAGAGCAGAGTGCCCGTCAATTTTACGATAAGGATCTACAGTGGGGTCCCCACAGTGTCAGAGAAGCGCACTCCACTCCAATACGGGCACCTGGGTTTAGGGGTAGAATGGGTGGGGCGTATGGGGGAACAATTCAGGGCGCAAAAATTATTTAAGTTAAAAAGTTACACGGGTAAGTTGGGGGACGTGCCCTTACCTCAGGCGGGGACACTGAAGTTCATTTTAATATTATCGCTAACCCCTACTGGACCAACGGAGAGCGCGTGTATGCCGGGGGGAGAGTGGTTAGGGTGTTCGCTGACCCCGGGCTAGGTCATTGAGGTACATTTTTTAAGTAATATAGCTAAATCCAACTAGAATTACGGTGAAAAAATGAAAAAGGTGGAAGATTGTGCTAATTTGACCTAGTTAAAACTTTTAAGTAAGCGGTTATTCTCAGGGTTATTTGAAAAGCCATTTTACTTAATAAACTGACTTAAGCGGTCATTGTATATGGTGGCCTTCCGAAGAACCCTCTACAGTTCAATATCACCATTCAATCCCTACTGGTCCAACGGCCGGCGTCCCAAAATGAGAGACTGTGGAAAATTCAACCTACTTAAAAATTTTAAGTACGCGGTTAATGAACCGATTCACCCGTTTAGAATCCCTCTTTGGCTCCCTGCCAATTTTACTTATCTACGGACGCTGAGCAATTCCCAGGAGTAGTTAAATGTCCAGTATTCTCCAACTCACGGGTTAGGTATGCTAGGTGTATTAACTGCAACGATCTATTATTACGACGAATGTTCGAATTCTAAGTAGCTGTATCGGTAAAGAATAAGATGAAGGCAGAATATGCATTGAAATTATTCGTTCATTTATCCGAGGTTGCGGCATCGTGCAACATATTATCGTCAGCGGTGAAGATAACAGCAGAACAGGCGACAATTTTATGTTTTTCAATTAACTGACCGTTCTGGAGACGCTACTGCAATCAATACAGCTTAAAGGCTGCGTAAGAACGACTAGTAAGATGTTCGAAATGTGAGAGATGATCTCCGTTTGCATGAACTACTGTCAGTAAGATCAGTATTGAACCTCTCAAATGAAGCAGGCAGGTATGCATGCGGAGGGCACCTTCTGTAGTACAATCGCCTTATATTCTGACGAACGATATGCACTATATGCGCATGACTCAGAATATTGTACCATTACCTGTGATTAAGGATTTTCAACGGAATCCGAAACGTCAGGACAATAGAACTCTTGTTCCAGTGGTCGCGTCTCTTTCTTCTGCTATGCCCGTCTTTGTCTCTGACGTCGGATGATTCTGACCAGTCAAATGACATATCGTTTAATGCAAATGACCATCCCTTTAATTAAAATATTTTCTTCTAATGCTCCAGAGAGAGTTTAGTGTCGGTGCATCTAGGAAGCATTCGACGTTAGCAGCCTTTCGCGTTTTTCGTGTATTTGGGGGTTGTGATAGTAATTTAAAAGCCCATATTTGTGGTTTTTATAAAAATTCGCATTAAACCGTGTTTAAGTGGGATTCGAACTTCGGATGCCACATTATCTAGAGTTGGGTGTGGGAGGCTGATGATGGATAATAAAGCGAAAATGGTAATTCCAATCAACATTTTTCCTGCCTTCTGGGGTTCTGACGGCACCGAAGATGTGCTTTACAAGTAAACCTTATTAATTTGAGTTTAATGCATGTTCGCCTATAGTTTACAAGTCGTTGATGTACTGCCTGTGGGGCTTGAGAGAAAGCCAAAAGGCACACCGGAAGTACTGAATTCTGGAAGTGACCTGTCAGCGCTAATACTTATATGAGGTGGATTTGTCGTATATGCTTGCGCTGTACCACGAGAGGTAAATGAAACCAAAATGGCAATTTCTGCGATATTAGGGGTTATCGGCTGGTCAGAAAAAATGCCAGCCTATAATCTTTGTTCCTCAAGTTTGCCACACTGATGTTTAGGTATACCGACAGAAAGATAGGCAGACGACATAGCGAGAGGGGCCATCGCGTTGCGATGACTGCCAATGTGTCTGGTGTCTCAGATGTGACTTACTGTGTCATTTAGGAAAGAGCCGAATACGTATTGGTGAGATTTTGCATGTCTAGGAGCTTCAAGGTAGGCGACAGCCAGTGCGCAGTGACCGAATACCCTCTTAGCAGAGCGTTTGTTCAAAATAGCAGTCGATTCACTCCGCATTTGAGAATTAAGCTTCGAGGATTTCCTGTGCTTGTTTAGGTCAGGTCAGGTTTTATTAAGGGAAATTTAGGTAAATGCCTTTGAACTCCCT